TGGTCTATTCAATTTGGTGATGAGACTCCTGAATTGTACATTTTACTGTGAAAGTTTTGGGCTTGACATGCTCTTCATCTGGCTGTGAAAGAATTTGGAGTACCTACAACCAAGTACATACAAAGAGGAGAAATCTCTTGTCCACATTGAGGATAAATTCACTGGTGTATATTATGTATAATAGAAAACTCAGAGATAAGAATTTGAAGAAAAAATGATTAATGGATGATGAAGATCATTTGCTTTGCGATGATGTGGCATCTGATGATGAGTGGTTTGTAGATGATGAAGTTGAAGTGATGCCGTTTGAATTACAATATGAAGATTTAAATGTTGATTCCTTTGATGGCCGTAAAGCATCTACATCCACCACAACTCAAGAACAAATAAAAAAAAGGTATATAAATAATATAATTTTCTTAAACTTTTATTAATGTATTACACTATTTTTTATTTTGAGATTATTCAAAAATATTTAGGAAAGAGGAAGATAACTGATATTGAGGAAGGACCTATTTGGGAGATATTACTCTATAGGAGATGAGGAAGGGGAGAGAGCAGTTCATCATAATGATGATTCAAATGAAGACTCCCTTAGTGATGACAATGCTGATGACTTATTAGTTCTTATGTGATATGTCATTGCTATTTATTTTTGGAATTATATGTTAATGAAATAATACTATAATTTGGGAAAGATGGAGTTTGAGTTGAACTATATTTCATGTTGTCTTATTATTGAGATATTTTGATTTTACTTCATATATTGTGCATTTTTATGTTTTATATATTATTTACTCATTAGTATATACAAAATTTATCATTTTATGTTTACGTAATTTTTTGATTTTGAGGCTTACGTCTCGCCTCACGAACGAAAAACTCCTCAATACCCCATTACGTAATTTTAAACATTGGTTCTGGAAGAATAAACTGCACAATTGTATTATTTAGCTTTAATATAACTATTAGTGAGTTCTTGCAACTCGATCAACATTTGCTACTATTTTTTACTAAGAGCATATATGTTCGATCCTTCCTACAATCCTTGAGCCTATGCAACTTTTGAGATTTCTATCTCCCAATCTTTGACTTCCAGTAATTTTCTTTAAAATATGACAATAAAGCTTCTTAGCGACGCGTTGGGTTCTTCTTGCAACTTCAAGAGAGCTTAGAAGTTCTTGAGCAACCTTTGGGTGCTTGTGATTTATGTGATGAAAATCTTCTTGAATTTAGAAAATTAGGTGATAGCACCTAAAAATATATGAGAAGACCATATTGAAGGGCAGATTCTTTAAAATTGATGAACATATGACACTTCAGTGTGTTCTTAATAGGGGTGTTAATATTTGACCCGTCCCGAAACTCGAACTAGACCCGACCCAAAATTTTTTTGAGTCGGGCAATCCTTTTTTCGTACGGGTCAGGTTTGGGTTCGAGTTTCTGACCCCTTTTTAAAATCTAATCGGGTTCGGGTTGACCCAAAAACCTGAAAATGACCTAAATTTACTCATGCTTACCTGCCTTTGCGACCGTTGTCTGACCTGCCCTCACATCCGTTGCTAACCCGTGCTCACATAGCACTAACGCAGCCTCTAACACTCACGTCTATACCTGAACACCCTTGACTCGAGCTCGCTTGCTAGGTCTTACCGTGCCCGCATCACGCTTGGACCCACTTGCCTCCGCACCCGCTCTGACCCCATTAGCGCTCGCATCCGTGCCTTACCACCTCACCCACACCAGCTTGCGTCTGCGGTTTCATGGCCAATTTCCATATTCTGGGTTTTTTGGGTTGTTTCGGGTTGACCCGAAACCGAATTAGGTCGAGTTCAGGTTAAGGATTTTGACCCAAAATTATAACCAGATCGAGTGAATAGTGACTGTTCAATTCTGGGTTGGACCTGAAACCGCCTTGAAAACCCATTTTGACACCACTAGTTGTTAACATTCATTACTGATGTTGTTGAATCAAAGTATGCTACATGTTCGATAGGTTTAGACCTTTCTCGATATATTCTAGGTGGGGCATCTTGAACTTTGCTGCTAGTTTTGTGCTAGTGATCTTATTGGTTTCGCTGGAATGTAGGACCTCTGTTGTTCATGATGACATTAAATCTCATGGTCTTGCTAGTAGGGGGCCTTTGCTGGCCAAAAGGATATTGATCTTGTGGCACATGCAGCCTCTTTCCCCTTGTGGGCCCTTAGGCGACTTTTATCATACATGTGATTTCTGTGCAAATTATGCCTTGTCGATAGCTCATTGGGAAAAGTGGCCTAGGAAGAATCAACCAAGCTAATTCTACTTTTACATGGTTGTTGGCAAGTTCCACCAAGAGTGTACCTGAAGATCCTTCCTATAATCCTTGAGTCAGTGCAACCTGAACAATTGCCGACTCTAGGTCTTTGGCTTCCATTATTTCTCTATAGAATCTGACCATGAAGCTTCTTAGCGACTCTTCGAGTTCATGTTGCAACTTCTAGGAAGCTTGTGAGCTCTTGAGTGGTCTTTGGGTGCTCGCAAATTATGTAATGAATATTTTCTTGAATTTAGAAAATGAGGTCAAGATACCTAGTGTAAGAGGAAAAATCTTTGAAGGGCAAACTCTTTGAAAGCAATGAAGAGCATTCACAATTCAGCATGTCATTATTTATGTTGGTGACTCAAAGTACGTGACGTGTTCAGTAGGATCAGACCTTCCCTAGTATGTTCTAGGCGGGGCATCTTGAACTTTTGGGTGGTTTTGCATCTACCATCTACCTGGAAACTGGGTCGGTCACCTCCATAATCGCGGAGGGTTGTATTTTTCATTGTTGGCATGGTTGTCATTGTGGTAGTGATAGGCGTTAAAATTAACACACTGGCTATCGAGTTAGATATCATTTAAAAGTACTTTCTCCCGGGGCATTTCTCTTAACTTGCCCTTATGCATCTTGGATCATCTTCGTGATTCTCTTTCATCTCCATTAAATCACAGTTATTTATGAGATTCTGGTTCTCTATATTCACTATCAACTCTTGGTTTTGTTTCTCTATGCATAATGTTTGTCTTCTTGTCAGTAGGGTTTGATCTAAATTTGTTTATGGGTGACACCTAACCCTATTAATAGGTTTAACAAGTTGGTGAGAGAACTAAGTGTCGGAATCAACAAGTATGAGAGTGAATGAAGATTTAAAAGAGCTACTGTGAATTGAAAAATTATATGAAGTATAAAAATGTGCCTCTTAATTTCTTATTTATAGAGTTAAGGGGTCTAGAAGCAAGGTTAAACCCAGAAAAAAAAAATGAATATATATATATTTATACATATATATCCCTTCGTTTTTGATGTGGCCCTTAGCTCATGATGTGGCTTGAAAGAGCCCCAATGAGTACCTTGGGCGAGTCTTCATGAGCGAGTATTTGAGGCAATCCTATGAAGGCAAGTCCTTGAAGCTGAACTGAGTACCTAGAGAAAATATGATAGTGAGCTGGGGACGAGCATATCCGTCGAAGTCATGATCATGGACTTTCTAGGTGTTCACTTCATGTAGCTTTGATTGGGCCCTTCATGGAAGGTGGATGGCCTCAATTGAGGACAATTGCTGACGAAGTGGATGCTCTTGGGGTGCGTGCCCGGGTGAAGGTTTGTTTAAGCAAGTCCTCTAGACAAACTCATTAAGTGTTAGCACTTTCTCAGTTTGATACTCCAGGTGCGAGCTCGTATGCCGTGCGCTCCACTAGAGTGAATATTTGTTTGCTTACAGGCTAGTGTTGACGAGTTCCCCTCAGGATGAGACGTTTTTTGTAGGAGCTTTGCTTTGAGCGAGTATTCCATCTGGCAAGCTCTTTTGATAGAAATATGTTTTGGATACCCGTGAGTTGCCTATATTGATAGGTATGGACATACACTGCTAAGTAAAAATAGATATTAATGGTTTAGATAATGCACTTGTTAAAAAAATGTATAATTGGCATTAGATGATTAGCAGTACAAATAATTTATGAATAATATGTTTTAACTCCTCTAACAATACTTAATGAGGACTAGTAAAATATGAAGATTCATAAGCCAACCTCAAATAGTTGTGTAAGACTAATGGTAATTGTTATCCTTATATTTCATGCATCAAATTTAATATCTTAAATCTATACGTAATCAATTCTGGATAATTTCTTATTATATTCGATTATATTGTAGTGCTGCGCTTGATGATTTTCTTACCAACGTTTTTTACCCCATGTAAATCAAAATCTTAGTGATCTCAGGAAAAAGAAGATCAAATTCACGATATCGGGACATAATGGTAGAGAGATAGTATAATCTTTTGGTCCCAACTTCATGTAACGGAAAGTACCTGCGAGTGAAAATGCCTATTGCTTCTAAATATATATATAATTTTACATTTCAATGTTAGACTCCAAGAATGAATGATGATGTTTCTAATTCCTGAGATAACTTATAATAGTGCTCAATTCTTGATAGAAGGCCATTAATATATATATATATATTCCCATGCTGTATTGTTCATAGAATATTACAGTGTATTTTTTTTTTTACTGGGTTTTGTAATCCTGTAATCAGGTAGAAGAAATGGCAGGGTTTGTTTACCAACCCTTGACCGGGCAGTGGTCTTTGTCTGACGACACAAGCGTTAATTTCATTGCCTTTGGAGTTAAGGGAACTACTGCAACCAATTAACCAACTGTTCCTTTTTTATTTTGATATTTATTTTTTATTTTTTGTAGTAAAGAATCATCTCCACATTTTAGTCTTGTAAGTAATGATTCATTTCCACATCCTTATTGTTTTTTTTTTCATTTAAATCTAAAATGTTCGATGGCTTCCATTTTGTTGCTTATATGATCTGAGCAATGTAAAATTATCTTATTTATATATTTAACACTTCTATTTTACTATTTAGTTAATAGAACACTCTTTCAATTTCTATTGATGGCCTTGGCTAATTCCTTGATGGTAAAGTGAAAATCATGATAGCTTTTTGCCGGATGATGTAGAGATGAGAAAGTCATGATGGGATTTCTCCAGAATGGGTCGTGATGGAATCTTGTTGGGAATGGCAGTTTATGGCAATGATGTGTGTGCTTGCATGAAAGACAAAAAGTTCAGACGTTAGTGAAGGGCGATGCATTCTCTGCAAATGATGATTAGATTGACAACATGTAAAAGATATTTGATGATGACATTATAACAGAGAGGGTAAAGAGTGTTATTTTTCATGTTGTTTAAAATTTTTAGCTTTATATTTTGTAAAGCTTAAGTTTAGATATATAAGTGGAATAACTTTGAGTGCTCTCTATGTAAATCGTGGTGTATGTTTTTTGTTGATATTCTTCTTATTGATAAAACTAGAGGGAGTTGATGAAAAAATTGAATTATTGATGTCAATAGTAGATTCTAAATGTTTCGTTTGAGTAGATTTAAAATCAAATACGTGAAGTGTAATTTTAGTAGTAATAATTCTAGTTGTGTGAATGTGACATTGGATTACCAAATCATTAAGAAGTGTGCATATTTTAGATATCGCTGATAGTGAAATAGATGAGGATATTATTAGTAGAATTCAAATTAGATGGTTGAAGTGGAGGAATGTATTGGACATATGTGATAGTAAGTACCTCAACCTTAAGGGAATATTTTATAAGATGTTGGCGAGACCTGCAATATTTGATTGCACATAATGTTGGTCATTAAAAGAGGATAAAATTAAGTGTTATAGAGATGAGGATCCTCGGACGGATAAGTGCCTTTCTACTTAGAGATAGAATACGAAAAGAGTATGCACGTGAAAAAGTTTGTGTAGCTTTAGTGATAGATTAAATTAGAGAGTTGTCTTAGAAGGGTTGGATGCATAAAATGTTGGTCTTCCAATGTCCTTGTTTAGAGAAATGTATTAAATTAGGTCTATGTTAAAAAAAGGGAGAGTTAGACTTAAAAAGGCTTGGCAAGAAAGTATTAAAAATAATTTTTATGGAGAAAATGAATTCATGTAACTAATCACACATTATGGGATAAAAGTTTGTTGTTTGTAATAGTTTTTAAGATATTTAGTAAGTAATATCATATAGTAAAATATAAAAAATGAATTCATGTAACTAATCTCACCTTCATGAATAGTAATTGGGACGCTAATCAGCCTTGACATTGCATGTTAGGAAATAAATCAATATAGTAAAATACAAAAACTAGCAATATTGTGCATCTAATTTAGGGAATCAAACAAAATCATCATTAATTTTAATTATTTTATCTCGACTATTTTATGTTATATTTTTATTCTTATTTGTTTTATCATATATCATTTAGGGGCCATTCGTTTTGTTAAAAAAGATTTAGAATAAAAATAAATATATGAAATGAATATAATATATTAGATATATTTTAAAACTAGTTTAGTGCAAAATAAACATAGAAGATTATTTTTTACATTTTATTTGAAGTAAAATAAATTTAGTATAAAATTAGTGTCATTGTTAGCAAGTGGCCAATGGCCATAGGTAGGTAATCGAGAGAGCATCAGAATTCATTTGTTGGGTGGGTAGTGACGACGGCTAGCAGTTGGTGATGGGTGAAGCTTCACGTCAGCATCATATTTAAAATTTTGTTAAACTAGATGGATTTTAAATTGGATATAAACTAAATAATAATTTAAAAAGATTGATATAATATTTTTGGGTTTTTTTTTTCATTTATTCAAATAACTAAATTTCACCAATATGTTTTTTTATTTGAATTCTTTTTTTAAGCAAACCAAACGTTCCTTAAACTTATTTGTTTTCTAATTAGTAGAACAATAGCAAGAAATAATTCCACCTTATAAAATACAAGCAACACCGTTCACCACATAGAAATGATAGAAGGAGAAATGCATAGAAATGATCACCCAACAATGTGCCTCAGAATGAATATTAGAAAAGAACATTACCAATAGCCATCCATATTTAGCCATTATTTTTTAAGGAATGCAAATTGTATTAGAAAAAAAAAAAAAACTATTACAAACTAGAAGGAAAAAACACTAAGCAAGCCTTTGAAATCATCATAATGGATATGTGATCTACTAATTACCATTTTAAATTCATTGGGGTGATGGGGATACCAAATATTTAAACAACCTAAAAAGTTTGTTAGTAACCCAGAATTCTCAAAAGATAAAAAATGACAACTAGTGAGAATCCCATATAACATTACAATTATTCAAAAAAAAACCAAAGAAACTAAAGGAAAAAACAAAAACAATACACAACTAAAAGGAAAATAAGAAAAACAACTAGTAAAACCACCAATACACCTAAAGAACCTACATCAACAACTTTTGTAGGCAAGTGATTCCAATCTGTCATCAGATTAAAGATAAACTCCATGACCTCCACGACTAAATCAGAGAATTGATAATTCCAGCAATAATTAAGAATGAAGTCTTCAAATAAATGAGAGCATTTTCCTTGAGTCAAGAGTACCAAAATACCCCTATCTTATTGAATGGAAGCAAATTCAATTAAGTAAAAAATGCAGAATTCCTTTCCAATAACCACAGTTCTGAAAAACACCAAATCACACATCTTAAAAGCTCCATCACCAAGCCGTGCAGTAATACCCATCATCCAGAGAGAGTGTTAAAAGAGTTACCTCCTCCAACAGCCTTCAAATCAATCTTTCTTTTCCTGGGACAATCCTCAATAGGTATTAAGAATTTAAGTTGTTTAGTGCTTTTATGTTTAACACTAAACAAGCTTAACTCCTTATAGTTATCAGTTAAAGAAATAGAAGTTGTCTTATGAACTTCAAACTTGGAAGATGAATCCAATTCTTTGTTATGAGAACCTGATCCAATATCCTTGATTTCAGAATTTTCAACAATCCCTTCTTCATCAGGGACTACCGCTTCCATCCTGGAGCTATCATCCTTGGTAATTAGAATTTCTCCACTTAATAATTTTGGTTCAGCTAAACATTTATCCTTCTTTGTAGGATTTCCAAAATCAACCACCAAATGTATGCCAACAGGAGGTTCTTTGAACAATGTTGAATCAGGAATACATCCTTCAACACCCATATTTTCCACAACTATAGCCTTATCATTCAAACTGTTTCAAGATAACATATTAAACTTAATGGAAGAGGGCTATGTCACTTCAGCATTCTACAATTGAGGGTTCACAGAATATTTCTGATTTAAAGAATCAACCTTTTTGGCTACTTTTCCAAAATTTATATTGCGTTTTTTAAATTTCACATGCATCCAAGGACCATACATATTATCAGAAATAGTTACACCCGGATTCACCTCCAAAACCTTCTCAGTATATACAGAAGCCAGAACTTTTCTTTGACAGTCATTAATCTTTACTTCTTTAAATCCATTCAATCGACCTTCAATCTTTACATCAGGACACAATCCAACAACATGACCAATCTTGCCACAATTGAAACAAAAAGAAGAGATCTTTTCATATTCCATTTTCTGAAAGAATTTACCATATAAACCTTCAATTCGAACTCCATGAGATAACTTAGAACCCAGGTTAATACGAACACAGGCTCTAGCAAATTCTAGCCTACCCCATTTAAACATGTTTCCATCTAAAAACATAGGAACTCCTATCTTGGAAACAATCTTAGAAACATTAATCTCATCCCAACAATGTAGAGATAAATGGGGCAACCGAATCCAAATAGGAGAGGATAAGCCTTTCAATGAAATAGGGTAAAATTGAGGCGTCCACTTATCCATCCCAATTACATGACCTCCCACATACCATGGTCCTCCACTTAAAACTTCTTCCATAGCCTGAGATGAATGGAAAGAACACAATATCCAATCAAGTCCAAATGAAGTAAATTGAAAACTCCCAAATTTGCTCCATTGATGCCTCAATTCAATACTACAAATAGAAAAAGGAATTTTTTTACTAAAAGCCTTTACCACAAGCGACTTCTGCAGTAATTGATAATTTTCACTTTTCTTTTGAGCATTCAATTTAATAACATTAACATCTTCTGAATCATCAGCATTACATTCCACATTTTTTACTCTGATATCTTGATTCTTAACCCACACATTTTCATGCTTATGTGTATCAGAATTATCCTTCTTTGAATTAACTTTAGAATTCAAATCCTCAATTTCAACATTTGAATTCAAAATCTCCTGATTAACTGGTAGAATTTCCTGGTCTTCCGGAATAACAGGAGGTATCAAAAAATGATTAACTTTTAAATCAAAACATGTAGATAATGAAGCCTCACAGTCAATTGCTATAGCATTAGAATTAATATCCTTCAATGATGATGAACGTAATTCCTTTGGAGATATCATCTTCTCCTTCTCAATTGAGATTTGAGCAGGTAAAATACCTTTTCTCGCTGGAATGTGTCCTGAAGACGTTGAGGCTTCAACGTCATTAGCTAAACCTTCTGGGTATAGAACCTTTCAATGGCGAAGAAAGGAATACCGTAGGAGATAATGTCGTCTCCTTATCATTTGTAATTTTAGCAGCTTTTCCCTTTCCTTCCACATAAACAGGAACAGTAACAATAACAGGTGTGGTGAGACCTTCTTTGATTACCAAAGGACTTTACACCATCCTTGAAAAACGAAAATCCTCCCGATTTTCATTGCTTCCACCTTTAGAGCCCCAATGAAGGTTGGGATTCCTAGCAGAATGGGGAATGGAGGTATTTCGATCATCCAAAACAGATAACCGGCGACCCTCCGACACCATAACGAAGCAAAACGGGAGATCAAGAATGAAAAGTTTTTGAAAAAAAACCAAATTTTCTCTCACTAAAATCTTGGACACTCTCTCACTAAAAACTTAATCCATATTTAGCCATTCAAACACACAAAATTGACTAGAAAGATAATCATTCATAGTAAGTGAAAACAATAAATTTATACCAACATCATACGAAGAGATGCATTAACACAATAATTAATAAATAACAATTGGATGATATAACAGCAGACAAGAAGAAAGATATTATATAGAACTTCCATTTGTGAAAAAATGAATAAAAAAACCAATATAAATGCCACACATCCATCAAGAGAAATGATAGGTGAAAAAAAAACTAGTAATTTCACAACTAATAAAAGTTGAATGATTTCAGATTTGATTTAAGGAGCCTCACAAATAATAGAATTCTCAATTAGGGATGAAATTTTTAAGGAGTTTGAAGGAAACTTCACAATAAAAAAAGAGGGAGGTGTGACTTTCATTGTGATGATTACATAAATATGCATTTGGTTTACCATTATTAAATCCCTTTTAAGGAGGCTATCAATAGTTTTTAGGTCACACTAAAATTTCTCAAGCAAGAAAAGA